TAGGGATTCTATTCCCTTATTCTCTGCTAAGAACCAGCAAGAGTAAGCTTCTTGTTGTTTACGAGGGGTGAGTAGGGAACAAGGGAACATATTCTAGGAGGAACCAGGAAGAGTATGCTTCTTGCTTAGAATCTGCCCAGAATGACACCCAACATACTCACAAAAATAATCTGCATTCGTCAGACATCATAGCACCAATCCTACAAAGTCTAAAACGTCGCTGCCACATCAGCTGGGCTTTTCTCAGAATGACCCCATTCTACTATAGTAGTTGGCATTTTCTTTTCCATTATCCCTACATAACCCCTATATTACAGTCCCTATATAAAACCCTATATAACCCCTTTATAACCCCCTAATATAATTCCAACATAACCCCTTAATCCCCAAGCCTTGCGCTCATCCACACTTCTCTTCTCAGGCTCTTGCCTGTGGCGGATTTGACATGGTTCTCCTTTTAGGTCATGGTCCCTTGTTGTGCAACTTCAGAGGGACTACACAAAATCGTGCAAGGGTCCAGCTATCGGGTTATGGGGCGGGACTCACTTTTATAGTGGCTTCAGAGATGTTATGTACCAAAGAGCTATGGAAGTGGTTCGCCTCTACAGTCTTCCGTCCAAGCAGTAGTGAAGTTCAGGCAACGAAAGGATCTGACACAGCCTGCTCATTTGAGACTTGTTGACAAGAATGGCCACCTTCTCTAACCATCATGATCTCCTCATAATCATTACGTGCCCCAAAACTCTCTGGGTGCCCCTGCTCGAGAGAAACACCTGATTCCATCTGTCCTACTCGGGCGTGTTCAGGTTTAGGGTTTATAGGCATAAACTGCACGATTCGGACCAGGATGTAAACTTAGACAAACTTCCCCCCCACAACATCTTCAGAATACTTTTGAAGTAGGAAGCCCATACCCTAAAACCTACACGAAAGGGCTCATGCACTATTACCCCCCCTCAAATCAACATGGAACCCGTACCATGACAAAGTCCTCCTGACAAAAGAACGGGAGCATCACTTGGTAGTAGTGTGAAATAAGAAGTTGATCGCAGTCACGTCCTAAGGGTAGATGTCTTCGGGTTAAGGGTATAGGGCTTGATGCGCTGAACAATGACTAAGGCCTGCGAACTTACATTGCGGACGGCATAAGACCATGCGCAGTTGCTACCCACACTTGCTTCTTGGGTTCCCATGGGTGCTTGACAAAGCTCTCAGTACCTTACTCAAGTCCCTGCAACAAGGATGATTTCATTCATGGGAGAAACTTCCAATGTCCCTTCTCTGCTGCCTCTCTGCAGGATAGCCTCCAACGCCCTGAAACATCCGGCCCAGCCCTACATCAGACTGTTGTTGGGTAGCCAAGATGCAGAGCCGTCGAGTGGATTTCAAGGCATGGCTCTTGCAAATGACACGAAGAAAACACTCTGAGGAGGGACCTTAAGGGTAAATGGAGTTTAGGGTCTGCTTCAGGGATCGTATGTACAGGCGCCCTGAAGCTGGGTAATAAACTATGTCACGAAAGTAACCCCAGCATGGGTGCTTCCCCTGAGTAGCCCAAAAATCCCACAAGGGCACTGAAAAAAAGGCAAAGGCAGGATGATGGAATACTCCCTGCTTGGAGGGTCAGGGGGACTTGGTAAGCGGGTTTATACTGGGGAGAACTGGCACCATTGTATGGCTTAGAGTTATGCATACACCTGCGCAGTCGTCCTCAATACTCCCTACACTCCCCTTCAGCTGGCCCCTCCTTGAGCCAAGCATTGGAGCCCAAGTGCATGCTCAAACTGCCAATGCCGCAGTTGGTTATGTTGCAAAATCAGGAGGCTCAAAAGGGTAGGGCACATATATGGTGAACATTTAGCATTCTTCACATGGATGGCTGTCAAAATTGTCACCTTCTTAGTGTACCCTCAATATCGAGGGCTGCATTGTAATGGAAACCCCAAAATATTACCATGTTAGGATGTCCAAAAGATCCCCGCCATCAACTTTGGATTGATCCGAGCAAGATCGAATGAGACGAGAAGCAGAAAGTGAACGCGAATCAATCCTACAGCCACCCATGAACCATGACTTAACGCGTCGAAGAGGAGTTGTTAAACTCTATTTGCCCCAAACCTCAAACCTTGCGCTGTGAAACCAAAATTTAAAACCCTGAACCCAAAAGCATAAACCGTACACCTGAATACCTACACACTAAACCCGAAACCTAAACTCGAAACCTAAGCATGTTTTGGAATGAGACATGGGGCAGATGACTGTGCTGCGGGTTTTCTCCTCCCGGCGGGTAGCATTGCAGGAGATAAGCCGACTCAATGCCTCAGCAGATTTAGGGATTATTGGGGGTTTCCCACAATTAGGGGTACTATTTTGAGGGTCCCCAGAGTAAGGATTATACTATTTTATATTGGGGTCCCCTTATTTTGGGAAACTACCATTTAGGGATTATTATCCCACTAGGGCCTAGATGGGCGAATGGCAAAGAAAATGGCAAGTCCTCGGAGTATAGGAAATGTGAAAAGCCTTCAATGAGATCTCTTGTGCTGTGGCATAACGAGGTATCTAGTTGAGAAGAGAACTTGGTTTAGCAAAAACTATGTGCTATCAAACCGCAGGAGCCACGCTGTGGCAACCAGTGTTAGTCCAACATGCTTGCAAGAGCAATGAAAATATCACTAAAACTAATATCAGTAGTAGCATGTAATAGTAACAATAATGACCCTAAACCATATCATCCTTAAGGCTGCTTTTTATATCATGATCAGATCAGATAATGTAGAAGCCTGAAGAACGATGGGGATGCTGTCGAAGACTGGATTCAAGTTAAAATTGTAAAGAAAGCATCCAAGTTTAAGTTCCTGAACAGCAAATCAGATTACCAACAACAGCGTTCCTTATCGTCCTCAGTATGTGGTTGTAGAATGATAAAGAATATATAGTGTACTGGAATGTTGTAGTCTGCCTCGCTTCAACACTACCTTATCTCACTCCTGATTTTTTTGAGAGGCTTTGGCATTTTCAGGCCACGTTCAACTGACTGAAGTTGCGTGCTCCAGGCCAGGTTCTTGTGCATGACACCCAAATTGAAGCTACTCGTGAAAGGATCTTCCCTTAGGTTGGCCCCCCCGCCCATTAATTAATAGTGATCACAATGGATACTGGTAATTATACCATGGTCCCGTACATACCCCTAATAAACCACTATTAGCGGGTGGGGGCCTAACCCACATCTTCCCATAGTTTTAGGCAGCGCCAAAAACCTGCGCTAAGCTCGGGTCTGTCCAAAGACATCGGCCACAATAAGCAGCAGCAAAGCCAGGCGTGGACGAAGAAAAGCCGATGCCACCGCAGCAGCATCTCAAGGACTAGATATAGGGATTATATAGGGGTTTTTTAGGGGTTATATAGGGGTTATATAGGGGTTATATAGGGGTTAAAAAGGGGTTATGTAGGGGTTATATAGGGGGGTTATGTAGGG